TATATAACATCCAATATATATATATATATAAAGAAATCCTTCAGGTTTGGTATTTTATGGTCTCCACAACAGTCCATTTCTAATACCCTTAAACTGTTCAGAAAATATCCAATTTAAATCACAAAACGTGACCCCCGAAAGGTTTTCTGCAACACTACATTTTGTTAATTGCCTTTTCTTTTTATGAAATGTTTCTTTCTCTATTTCTGGATGTCTATATTATTATTATTATTATTATTATTAATGTTATTATTATTTAGAACGGACACCTTGGCTCAGTCTGTGAGCAGAGCGTGTACTTTCTGCATCCCTTTTTTTGTACATTATTGTCTAGCACTGCGCCTGGCATTGGCCACTAGGTGCGACTCGATCTCAGGTCAAAGTTAAGGCTTTGCTTTCTCCACACATTCTCACAACATCATCCTGTACTTACTTCACCATTTCCTCCTCCTTTCCTGCTCCTGATCATCATGACCCCCCCCCCCTTCTGAAGTCAGGATAAGTTCCAGTATACGAGATATTTACCAGATCTGGTATTTTAACCCATCCACGTCCTGCCTCGTTTTTTTCCGAATAGATAGGGCTAAATTAGGTTGTCTCGTTTGCCTTAATATATGCCAACCATCTTTTAACCGTTTCACTTCTACTCCCTCCTCTAGCTCAGTGTTCCCTCTGCTGATTTCCTTTCTTCAGACTTATTGTTTAATCTTCACGACGACTGCTTCTTAAAACCAAATAAAGGATGGGTTAAAATCCAGGGAAGGGAACGCATTTCAATGTCACGAATGGCTGAATACTGAAAGTGTTTTGAAGGATTTCTGCTCATGTTACCTGGTGATTCCCCTTCCCCTTCTTTTATTTTTTTCTGTAGAAATGTTATTTATTTCTTCTTTTTTTTTTTTTTTTCCTTTTGTGATATCAGTTTAAATCACTGTATAAATGCCCCATGATTCAGTATAAAGTTGGATTTTTTTGTATGCATTTTCTTTGGTGTCATGACTGGGGGACTTAAAACCTTTTCTTTTTTTCCCCCCTTTAAGTATATCTACCTCACTCTTTTTAAATATATGTATGTGTATGGAAAACAAATACATCTCACTCTTTCTCGTTTTTTTTGTTTTTTTTTAAACCCCCACAGGGATCTAGATAAACCTCACGAAGCGGACTAACACAGGAGATGGAATGGAAGTGTTGTTAAGTTACCCCGGCCATTTCTGGCCCAGCGGGTTAAAGCTTTTAGAAAAAAAAGGCCCGCGCGTTTGCTCAAATTGAACAGCAGCCGTTAGTACGGTGTAGTTTTGCTCTCAGTGTTAAATGTAAATGAGTATTTATGTGAGGACATCGATCTACACTGTATTTTAACCGAGGCAGGTGCAGTACGTGATAAGACAGGAGGCCAGGGCTCAACACCACACATTCCATCTCCAAACATAAATGTCACAACCTCAAATCCTCAAAAGACAAAAACTTTTAATTTTTCCTCTTCTAAAATGCTTTTATATAAAAGTCTAAAATAAAAAATGTATTTACATACATATATATATAGATAGATATAAAACGGGAAATATTTAAAAAGGGAAACTTTTTCATCACCTCCAATAAAACAATTTGACCTGCAGCCTGTGATGCTGCGAGCATACGGTGCAACTCCACCTCTCACTTTATTCCAAGCAAACAGATGGCATTCACTTTTTCAGAACAACAACAGCAAAAACTAGATAGTTGTGAACTTTCCATAAGATGGGGAAAGCAGCCTCCTATGTATTTCTAACTTCTGTAGGAACCCCTAAATCAATGATTTCCACGTTGGAATCACAAGAGCAGTAAAACAGTGTCATTTTCTACCCTTATAAACTCTTCGTGGTTATGTGAATGTCATCATCCCCCTTCCCCTTCCTTCCCAGTCTACCTGCTGAATGCCAAGACATTCTGACCCCAGCGTTCATTTCCACTCTCGTTATCGGTGCCACTCCCTCACTGTCCATTCAGAGTTGTTTTGCTCTATCAAAAGTCAAGTCTGCACCCCCCGTTTTTTTTGTCTGGCCCGTTGTAACTGATACTTACAGTAATGCTGCTGGTTCAGTCACCTCAGTAGATCTTATTTTGTCACCACAAAATAGGAGGGAAAAAAAAGAGAGAGAACAAGCGTGAAAAGGTGGCAAAGTAGCTTTTACATCTCAAAGCGTCTCATTAAAAAACAAAAACAAAAGAAACCTCAGTGCTACTTTTTAACTCGCAGTGGCTACTTGGCGAGCGTTAACTCAGTGCAAGGGCTGATGGGCTGGGAACATTAGATAATTTGCATTTATATGAATACCCAAAAGCAATAAGAAAAGAAAATGGGATCACAGATAGGCAACCAGGTAACTTCTAATGTGAAATTTGGGTGCTCAATTAAAGTTCTTGGTAAATAAAAAATAGATAAAACTGTCTGATTGCTGTTTAATATCACAACGGTTTAAAAATCACCACTGACAAGCAAACAGCTTAGGTAGTTACTTAACATATCTATGCATTTCTGTTTTTGTTTTTTTGCTGTATTATGGTATATGTCAACTTTCCAGTTCTGAGAGTAGACACTGATCTGTTCTGAGGTGAATAGCTGTTGAATAACTAGTTACCATTAGATCACGAACCTGTCAAAGCTTACAACATTTACAATGAACTCGTGGACATGTATAGGACAGGGATGTTGCGTAGATTTACGGGTAGTCACGGTGAAGAGTAATCATGGTTAGAAAAAGACGATAGTTTACAGCTTCACGCAATACTTTTTTTTTTTTTTGCGTTACCTTAGGCTTAAACAGCATAAATATACACTACAGTTTAGTCGTCTGTCAACATTTCAATTCTTCAGAATGTTCTTCATGCAAATGTCAGGTTTATGGAGAATGCATCAGTGCATTTAAACTGCAATAATAAGTTTGAGGTTCATCATCGTCATCATCATCATCATCCTGCGCCTCTGTTTTTAATGATTTGCATTCCTGTACCTTCTGAGGGGGCCTTGGTCTACTACTACTATTACTTTATTATGATGCTTTCACAAAATCTGTGTGTTCATTAGATTGGGGAAAGAAATAATCAAAACAAAAAAATCACTAGACTGTCTTCTTTCAAGCTCTATATCTGAGGCCTCAAAGTTTTTCACACCTATAGCTGAGATGGTGTATTTTTTTAAAACACCTTCTCTGAATATGTATCTGAGAATTTCTTGTATTTTCTTTCTCTTTTTTTTTTGCTGAAATTTTGAATAAATAAATGAATGAGAACTACAAATGCCTGCTATATTTAATTTTCCATTCACACCAATCAGTGGGTATCTGCTATGGATCACGATCTACCTCATTGAAACAAAAGGGGGATCTCTTGTTTTTGAATGCTCCTCCAGCTGTTCCAGGATCTTCTGAATGAGGGCTTGCAGCAGAGGCACCAGTCTGTCAGCTGAGGCCAAGGTACCAGATGTGGGTATATGGATGAGGGCTGCTCTCCCCTGACCGTGATACAGTGAGCAGTAATATGCAAAATCGCACAGGTACCTAAAAAGAAGAAATCAGCCATTATCTCATATTCAAGAGTGACTCTTGATCGTGCTGGAACACTTGCCTACCTGCCAGCATCTCTTGAATAAACTACATTCATCCCTGCTTGTCTGAAGTGCTTTGAGACTGCCCTCATGTTAATGACTGACTCCAGCTTCTGTGCCCCCCCTTCGACGCAGCAGCGAGTCTCTGGACAGTAGCCGCAGACATCTCGGTCTCTGTAGCCAGTGTTCTTCCCCGTTTGCTCCAAAATCACCACACTGGAGCCTCTGGCCAAACCCAGATGTACAGCAAACTGAAGTAAATGCACACAAACACAAGAGTGAGTTATTTACCTTGTCTTATGTGTTGGGATTTCTTTATTATTTATTTTTCATATTTGTAAGAAGCACAATAAACATTTTGGAAATCTATTGACAGAATTAAGTTTTAAAATAATAAGGTGATCAGTCTACAAGTCACATTTCGCTTTATTTTTACCTTTGGGTTAAGAGTGTACCAGAGCTCACCAATAATTTTCTGGGTTTTCAAGTAACTCACTGGTAACTCCCTCACATGGACGTCAACATTCTCCCCCAGTCCGATCAGTTTCAACCCCTGCAATCATTTTTCAAATGAGTTATTTTCAGACTCAGTCAGCCGGTGGCGTTGATCGTTATTACCTTGGCGGCTTCCCAGCTGGTGTTGGTCAAGAACTGTCGAAAAGGTCCAAAACCTTAAAAGTAAATCGAATTTGCCAATTCAAAATAAAAGTCGGTCCGGTGCGATTATGGAGGACATGAACATTTACAGTTTACCTGTAACGACCACAGTTTCGCTTTTATTCATAGCCCAACCGAGATTGCAGCGCCTGTAACGGCAGTTCAGGGATTTCATGCAAGGATACTAAAACGTAGATAGATTTTCTTTAGCTTTCGCTATTCGTTTACTGTCCGCTTGGGGGCGCTCATCTCTGATAAATGTGATGCCCTTGTGAGGGTGATGCATTCAGGTGTCTCAGGAAAGTTATGCCATCCACAAATCATATTGAACTTAAAACAGCGAGACAGATTAGCATTTGTACTCTCAATAACACTTGCAGGCAATTTAGAATCACCAAAAGTCACCAACCCCACTAAGTGCATGTCTTTGGACTATGGGAGGAATCTGGAGAGAACATGAACAAAACCTTCTTGCTGTGAGGAAACGGAGCTACCCACTGCGCCACTGTGTGTACATTGTATTTATCAATATTAACTACTTTCTTGCACAATCTCAGTTTACCTTTTACTTTCCTTCAACTTAACCTTAAATCGCTGTTGGATATATTTAAAGTTCTTGCACTCTCACAGAATCAAGCCATCACTATGTTCTGCCTCTGGCACATTTACTTTAACTTGTGTTTATTTATTGTAGGATGTTCTATTTTTAAATATTTACCCTGGTGCTGTAACACAATAACTTCCCATGCAGGGTGAAGAATCTATCGGTCTATTATGGCAAGTAAACAACAAAGGCAAGCACTTCATTGAAAGAGTAAATCTTTTGAATTAAAAAGTATTAGGGTAAAAAAGATTCAATTAAAATTAAAAAAGCAAAATGAAAAATCAAATTTACCAAATCTGCAAACTAGACGCTTACGACATCAGTGGGAATATATTTTAAGTGTAACACACATTCTAAATAATATATATTTATACATTCTAATATGGAGCTATATTATAGCTGCAGTTAAATGTAGACTGGCTTTTACATGTGGGAGAAAAAGCCAAAAGGTAAATGTAGCCAAAACCAATATACTGTGTTTAAACCTCAATTATTATCATTTTTTAACTCGTGTACCTTTCTTTTTAGCTTGTCCTTTCTTTTATTTATAGTTGCGGTGAGTTTAGCATTATAGTATTTCAGAGAGCACTTAAACGCAACATAACAACGGACAGGGACGGAGGGACACGCTCGGGACGCTGCTATGATGCAGCAAAGGACCCGCCCTCCTCCTCCTCCTCCTGCACTTGTCAAAGGCCACCGATCACAAATTACATCACAGTCGCGCCCACGGACGAAGACGCAAATTGATGCCGGGAGAATCCGTCTCCTAAATAATAAATAAAATCACCGGATATTTTTCTCCATCTAACTTAACAGAGATAATTAGTTACCACAATGCTCCCTTTCAAGAGAACTTTTGAGAGCGAGAAGCACCAGCTGCAGGAGCTCAACAGCAGACTTACCCAGTATCTATCCAGAACCAAGCAGCTGGAGCAAGAAAACGCGCATCTCATTGCTGAAATAAATAAACTGAGACAGGTGAGGACTACCGGATGGGAAACTAAGTACAGGGCTGAGATGCAGGACCTGCGGAGAATGGTGGGGCAGCTGTCGTTTGAAAAGTCCCAGGCTGAGATGGAGAGGGAGAAGCTATGGCGGGAGTTGCAGATTATCCAGAGTCTGTGCAGCGAGCAGACCGATGTGTGCCGGGACGTCAGCGGCGAACTAAAGAACTGCGAGCAGGAGCTTCATCACGCTCACAAAACCAACAGCGAACTCCAGCAGCGGCTGCTGCAACTAGAGAACGAGTATAAACGCTTAGAGGATGCACACAGGGAAGAAGTGAGCCACCTTTGCAGTCAGGTGGAGTCCCGAGTGGCACCCATCATCAGGCAAACTTATCGTGGGCCTCCGGTGGTCTCCGTGGAAGAGGTGCAGGAGTATGCCCACGGTATGTCCGAAGGATGGATTCAGACCTTCGAAATGTACCAGAAGACGGTAGAAGACATGGAGCAGTCAATTAAAGCGGACCAGGCAATGCTGAACGACATGCAGAGGGAAAAGATGCTGTATGCGTCCGAGTTGGACAAATTACGCACGGAAGCGGAAAAACAAGGGCAGATTCAAATGCGACTTGAGGAGCAACTGATGCACATGCAGGAAAAATTCCGTGTGGACTACAGTCAGTATCAGGTAAGGACGAATTAATTGTGCTACAGTAGAAGAAATGTTTAATTTGGCATTGTTTGATTCGTTTTATCAACAAACAAACAAACAAACAAACAAACGAAAAACCCACCACTTTCAGTAAACCCCGCAAAATAAGCTCTAATTTTGGAGACGGGGGAGCGGCTTGTCCCTTGCTGCCCTGCCACACCCACTGTCCTTAAAGGTACTCATGCAGCTGCAGCTCACAGTGGCTGCTACAAATGTTTTCGATCTTTCTAATAATGTGAAATTTACATTCGCATTTACATTCACATTCCAATAATGTGAAATTTATATATATACACACGCTGCACCATTCTGGCGTCTGTACCAAAACACTACACAATAAATAAGGAGGGGTCATTATTCAACAGTGAGCAAGGCCTGTCAAGTTTATGTACCCATAACTAAAAAATATGGATTGTGCACAACATTTGACGTCAGTATACCAGGACAGCATAGCTCCATTAGCTGGACAAACGCTATACTTCCGCCCTAGTACCGTCCAACTGCTAGATTACACCAGCCACTTAAACCAATTAGCTGTCAAACTGACAAATCCTTATTAGCCTGAAGATGCAGTCTAAAGCAGGCCAGTCAGTTACATACCACTTCTCTTTCCACCCACTGCAGGGCTGTCTTCAGTAAAGTCACACCAAATACATTCCTCTGTTTATCTGTATGTAAGGAAGGCAAATGTTAACATGTACTGGAGAGGGTTTATGCACAATACACAAAAGCACTACTTGAGAGGACACGCCTAAAAACTTCAAATCTGTTAAGAGCACTAAAAGCTGCCTTGAGATGAATTATGGTTTCCTGTTTTTGCTTCCCCCCCCCCTACCATCAGATGACTATTGAACAGCTGGAGCATGAGAGGAATGTGATGGCTGATGTTATAGCACAAAAAATGAGAGAGCATCAGCAGCTTCTCCAGGTGAAGATGGATCTAGGAATGGAGGTTGCTACTTACAGGTGATGAAACCATTTAGTTTGTTCATTTTTTTGTCTAAATAAATGAAATGGATATTTTATGTCACGTCAAGTATAAGTCTTTTCCCAGAAGCCATTTTTACTTGTGTTAGCATGAAAAGCACAGATGGCACGAATAAAAACACTATGAGAGACAATCAGCAGTCAGTGTTGTTGTATATGCAACTCTTCAGTAAGCCTTTATTATGTGATATGAACCATACCTGGGTGCTTGAACCACATAGGAGTATGTGTTTCACTGCTTCCCTTACTGTGAGGGGAAATGTCTTCCAAAGAAGAAGTACATGTGGCGTCTTAAATGTTTCAGAGACGCGTTTAATACAAGGAAAAGCTGTCAGATGCTTTTTGCAAAGGTGTTGCTAACAGTCAGTCTACTTTAAAAAGTGTAAGCTACAACAATTTTGAACGATTTTTGTGTTGTTCATGAAGAACTCCTTTGGGGAATGAGCGCATGTGAAAACAGAGACAGTAATGGTTATTTGTTTGGAATCATTATTTTTTTTCTTTTCTTAAGAAACAATTGTAGAAAACATTGTAGAAACAATGGCTAAAATGCAGAAGCTTTCTTTATTCTGAGATATTTCTATGGTTTTGAAATCAGATTACTGATTAAACCAGCCCAAATACCTCTTCAAGTTAATCTTAACTCAATTAAGTTCATAATTTACATAAGGAGACATACTTTGCTTGCTCATTCCTGGTTTTGGCACTAATTGCTCAAATCTAAGATCTCAAAAAAAAGTCATATTAAGCTAATATAGCTTGGATTCATATTTTTCCATTGTTCACTCACACCCCACCTGCAGTGGCTCCATGCACCAACAGTGGAGACTGCTATACAGTTTAAAAAACCCCGAGCTGCTTAACTGAAAATTAGTGTCTGACAAGGTTACATAAATACTACACATACTATAGATGATTCTTAAGTAAAGCTGTTAGAGCATATTGTGTGAAGGAGGACTGATTTTATAAGCAATAATTTGTCTTGTTATAGCACTCAGTGTGTTGGCTTCATGTTCATGACACAGGGAGATGCTAAGATCTCAAAGCTCTTTATAAAACAGTGGGTAAACACTGTACTGGAATGTTATATCAATGTACCCTTGACATATTATAACCTCTTGCCTCATATTGACCTACATTTAAACAGACTTATATCAAAGATGGTGATAGATATTAGCATTTTAGCTTTAGCTTGCCTCTATATGGCAGGCTCTCCACAGGCACAACTGGTTTGTTTTGAACTTTTGGAATAGACAGAATACCTTATTAGAGACGTGGCAGCGGCATTTGTTTTTGTATGTGTCACGTGTCCGTTTTTGCTCTGGGATTCACAGGGAAGCATAGACAGCCATGCTTTGTGGGCGTTATTTTTAGGCCAGTCTTTCGGAAGGCACTCTCCAGAGAAGTTGCTCGTTTCATTTGCTATTGTATGTCTGTTGAAGCATGGCCAAGGAAAGGTGAGCTGTTTCAAATACTAGTAATGCATCGATATTAAATGACGGTGGCTTATTTGAATTTTTAAGACTACTACCCTATATGGTCAGGTACAGCATTCATGCCTTCTCGTAAGCCAGTTGTGTTTAGTTTGAGAGGGTTGAAATGGCAGAGCTGAAGGATGTACACGATCCCATGAGGTACTTGTCTTTGATGTTTTGAAAATATTTGAGAAATTAACTTGAGTTAGGACCTTTTTGCCCCTGTCTTCATATGTAATTTGCCTTGTCTCTGTTTAGGGCTCTTCTGGAGGGTGAGCAAATCAGTCTGCAAGATGCTCATAAGCGAGTGAATCAACATCAAAGAGAAAGAATAATAGGTATGTTTCTCAGTTATTTTTATTGATGTGATAATGATGGGAAAACACTGCAAGACTGGTTTCTACTTGGATAAATCATATGCACATTTATTAAGCAAAACTGAAAACAAAATGTCAATTCATCAAATAATTATTACTAATTAATTCTTTACTAATTACTTTTGACTCAGATATCAAAATGCCTGCCCGACGCTATACTCCAAGAGCTTCCACCTTAACCACCAAACAGCACATGGATGTAAGGTACATGCCATCGACTTCAAGCCTGAGAAGAGCCCCCATCCCTTCCTCTGGGTCCATAAGTCCGTCTAGGGTCATCCCTATTTCAGTTACAGGAAGAGCTCGCCATCAGAGTCCGGCATCCAGAAGGGATATGATCTCATTTAACAAAGCTCGGGCAGCTGCTTCTGCCTCTGCTACTACCATTACCACCACCAGTACGACAACCAAAGATAAGCAAGCAGGCCATAGTGAAAACCAAGTCAGTCGGAGTGTACCAAAAAGAACAGCAGAAGAGCAAACTGTGAAACTCATCTGGCTCCCACATACAGAGGGCCAGATGAGTCCTGACAAGTCTTCTACTCCTGATACCAAATCAGTAAGAGTGGTGTCACCATCAATGAAGAGCCTAGTTACGGAAACCGAGACAGAAAGCAAGAAGTATGTGTCAGATGAAAAAGAAAAAGGCCCCGTTGTCGACGGCAAGGTCAAAGACAAAGGAAGAACAGAGTTTACAATAGGCCCAGCTGAGAAAAAGATATTAGACTCTGTGTCTGTAGAAGAAATAATTGAGAAAGTGATAAAACCAGCAGGTTTGGAAGCCAAGGTCTGTTCAGCAGGAGATTCAAAAGTCAGATATCACGTGGAGAAAACTGAGCAGGAGGATGGCACGACTAAAACACAAATCGTGCTGGAGTCCAAAGTGGAGGAAGAGCTGGATGTTTCTCAGGACAATGCCCTGGAAGAACTGTTGAAACAAGGTGTGAAGAAAGTGTCACTAGAGGACATCAAGGACACAGCAACAGGAAGCATGGTCAAGAACCTGCTGAGTGGCTTGCAAGGAGGAGAGGACTTACAAAATAAGTCAGTCAATGTGGAAATCATCGAGGAACCAGTGGAGTCTTACAGTGATGAAGAACTTGAGGCTGAGCAGAAGTCCGGGTTGACTTTTCATGAGCCTTCTGCATATTTCGAAGTTGAGGAGCCAGAAAATATCCCTCATGGCATTCAAGGTAGCAGGGGGGATGATAATGTCATGAAATCCAACACAGATGAGTCAAAGTTTGGATCTGTACAAGTCCAAGAGGTCTCTAGAGAGAGTGAATATCCACATTTCTCCCATGATCAAGAGTCTCATGAGTATTTTGTCTCCACACCAGATGAAAATCTTTCTGAATCTGAGGAGGGTGGCGGGATAACCTCATATGGCCATTATGGAATTGTAGATGACCTGTCGGATGAGAGGTATTATCAAGATGATGGCCTTCCCCAGAAAAAAGTGACTGTAAAAGAAAGTGATGAATATGAGTTTATGTCAGGTGACCGGTTGTTTGCCAAAGAGAGTTTTCCAGAGTGCATAATAGAAGAAGAGGTTCGGGTCTCACCTGTAGTGCAAGAGTCAGTGCTTGAGTACCTGAGAGAAGACTCTTTGGAGCCCAAAGAGCAGCTTAAAGGAGCTCTTGAGAAGCTACAAAGTTCAGTGTCGGGACCACTGAAAGAGGAGTTAGCTTTCCTCACCAGAGTGAGTAGTGAAAGTCCAGAGAATGTAGCCGTCGGTGTCAAAAGAGTGGAACAGTCCACTGACAATGGAACCATGACTATAGTCGCAGAGCTAAATGTTTCTCAAACCCTGGAAGAATCTGGGCTGCTGGAAGGAGATGACCTATCTGAAGATCAGATCATGGCAGCGCTCAAGTCTTCTAACATAGGGATCGAGAAAGCCTTCCAGAGTGGGGCGGGAGGAGGATACAGCATTAGAGTTTCCAGAGAAGATAATGTTGCTCATAGCGTGGAGTATGGCGACTTCAGCGACAAAGGAGAATCTGCATCTGAAATCAGTGAGAAACATTTTAAACTGGGGCCATCAGACAAGTCATTTTCCTTCCAGATGGATGTACACGGTGGCCATGACGAGGCTGCCTCAGAGGAAGAGCTGCAGCCTCCAGTCCTGGAGATGCCAGTGAAGATTTCACAGGAGAAAAGAATCGCAACAGTTTACCTTGAAAGCCCTTCTAATGACTAAGAACTAAATCTGATTCTTTTTTTCAAATTGAATAATTGCCAGTGCATTACGGTATGTTTACTTAAACATACAAAGCATATACTAATGGTGATTGCAGGAACTGTATTCATGCTATTTTTCAAGTAAACAAGCGTACTTATAATCCATAAAACTAGATTACCTAAAACAGAGTACTAGCTATTTAGTTAAAAGTATCTGATTTTCATATATGAATTTTTCTTTTTGCCATTGACTGCAGAGATCCCATTACTGAAATACTCCATACTAACTACTGTGGGCTAGATTGTGTAAGGACTGAAACATCTACATATTGTAGCCATATTTAATGGTAGGCAATGCTGTGTGCTGTACTAGTATGTTTGGCTTTTCATAAGGTGCAGTTTGAATATCCTTGATTATTCTCTTTATAGTGCTTCATTTTGTACTAACCTACACTTAACAGCTTAAACAGCTCATTCTACAGTTTACAGCATATAATCCACCCAACCATCATGTCGTGGCTGTACTTGCCATGATGTTAAGTCTCCTTGGTCAGCATTTATTGCTCTCCGGGTTACAAGGTGCTGTGCACTGTTTGCAGAATAGGGCTTTAATTTTTTATGTTTTGAGCACCTCTAGAAAATGGAATGATGTTAGTACACAGCACATGTTGGAACACAGTGGTTTATATTAACAAGTCATTGCTAACATGTGTTCAAGACTGTTGACCTTGTGACTGAGGATAATATCATGAGAGTTAAAAAAAAAAAAAAAAAGATCTATTTGCTTTAGAATTTGTCTTAACAAAGCTCTTGTGAAGCTTAAAAGTGATTTCTTGGGGTTTCTAGGGACGGCGCAGTGGTTAGCACTGTTGCCTCACAGCAAGAAGGTCCAGATTTCAACTCCATTGTCTGGCTGGGGACTGTCTATGTGGAGTTGGTTAGGTTAACTGATGATTCTAAATTGCCCATAGGTGTAAATGATAGGCTCCAGCAGCCCCCAAAGGAGAAGCATGTTTTTAAAAAATAAAACAAAAAGTCTATTTTATTAACATGTGCCAAACATTTGTAAATTGCAAACAGTTAAGATTTTGTTTTGAGCATATAATTGGGGGTAACACTGCATTTGGAATTCTAAATGGTCCCATTTAGAATTCCAAACATGGCTGTCAAGTTGAAAACAATATCCAGATAAAACGATTAAAGTAGCAGCAGAGGTGTTTTGCATTAAAAGGATGTTGCAGTGATGAAAAAGTAATCACACATAGGTTTGATCTTTGTCATGTATAGCACTTATGGCTTGTCCACAGCTGTTGGCTTTCAGTGTTGGCTTGAAGGATTCAACTTTGCTCTGACCTACGAGTGTGTTTATAACCGCACCTATTTTTGGATCATCAGCTTAGCATTGAGTGTTGACTAGAGTTTGTTGTGTTGTGTATGCGTTACAGAGACAGAAATGAAATAGCATGTGTACCGTCTGGTTATTTTTTTTTGCTTATTTTCTCTAACAGCGGCTGTATAATTTACTTCTAACTACTGAAAAGTCTTTGCAAGTCAACTTTCTGGTATGATGGTAAAGCAATCCAAAAATACAACATCTGGCATGAATGCCATGCTTTTACAAATAAAATAAATTAGCAATCTACAAAAAGAACCCTTCATTTCATGATTTGTTGTGATTTACTCTTTAAACTCAAACACTCCTATATCAGTGCACCTAAAGTGTTTGTTATTAATCTTTATGCGGTTATTATCTCATTAGTGAATGAGTGACTAATACAGTGTTTAATAAAGGTCAAATGGAGAGACTGAAATCATTGATTTATTCTGAATTCTTTTGAGACCATTGCTTATATTGGTACTAATTCCAGTCCTTAGATGAAAATTGCCCCAATATTATAACATCATTAAAAAATATTATGTGTATGTTTTGTTTGAGTATTTATTTAGACTTTACTTTCTTCACCTAAAGTGCAAATTGACAAAAAATCAAGTACTGCCAGATGACAAAAACCATTTAGTTACAAAAACCATCATGACGGAATATCAACCGTTGGCTTAAACTTTAAACCACACTGAAAACAAACAAAACAAGTGTGTTCAGTTATGAAGTTTTAATTATTACCACTGGATGGTACAAGTGGAAAGATTAGAGGTCGTTTTCCTTTTACCTTTCTTCTCAGCCACCTCTGGTGCCCTGAGAAACATAGAGGACACAGTTGCTTTACTAAAACATGAAACATGAGCTGCATTCTTATAAGTGTCTGTTAGGTTTACCCTAATGTAATCATATTATCAAAAAGAAATAAATGGTAAGTGTTGACTGGTGAGGCCTGTCAGATTTCTTAACATAAGAACACTGTGATTATTTCACAAATTTACCTAGCCAGCATGTCCACAGCTTTTTTTTTTACTGCTTTGGTCTTCTTGTGCTGACGCCCATACAAGGATCTCTGGATTTCAGGCACTACACACGGGGAAAAAAGATAGCCGAGAGAGTGGTCAATGGAAGATAAGTGTTGAAACTCAAACTCGGAGGGGAAGCGCCACTTCCTAGCAACATGTGAACGCACTAAACATACCAAAATAACCACTGTAGCTGCCCAAGGTTTAGATAACACCTGTGCCAACTGCCCAGAGTGTCAGATCAACAAGCAGGATTTGATTTATTATGAAGACCCATCAGCAATCTGCTGTAAAATAAAGACTCGGTATGAGGCAGTTGTTGTGAGAGAGAGAGAGAGAGAGAGAGAGAGAGAGAGCGAGAGAGAAATAAGCAACTTCATAAGAAACTGTTATGTAAGTCCCCCACCCAAAAAAACAAATCAAAACCTTCATCAGGAAACACGTATATGATTACACAATGTGCCCACACAAAGTGACACAGCAGACATGATGAATGGCTGTCAGCTAGAATCACCATAAATAACAGTTGAAGAGGGCTTTATTAAAGCAGGGAAAAGAAGAGTGAAAAGTTACCGTCCTCACCAGGGAAAGTGAAACACTGCTAATATGGAACAGATCCATTTGGCCTCCTGAATGTTTTCACTGTTGCTAAGGTTGATGTAATGGAAGGCCTTTTTTTCAGCTGCACTTCAGAGGAAGGGGGAAAATGTCAAAAGCGTAGCTGTATGTGGGCTATTGTTCTCTTTGTTTTCAAAACTTCTTATGTATTGTATCTGCTACACAAGCCGGCTTAACTTCGGAAAAGAAAAAGTTACTCATTTTGAGTGATGTCATGAGGAAAGCAGTGAAAATAAACACTCCGGGCATATCTGCTCTCTGTCAGAAAGTTTACCACTTGAACGGCGAACAGAGAAGAGTGAGCCCTGGTGTTCCATGTCATACTTGGACCCCGACTCTGCACTTTAACAGCAATAACACAGCAACATAGCAACCAGGCTCCTTCACTTAGAGGCATGTCATTACTAGTGTGGAGCAATCCCCCCTTTCCTGGTATATTTTAGTACCAGTGTTCTGTTGCTGGTAGCACTGAGCTCATGTGGCAAATAATACAGCATGTCAAAAAAAACCCTCATTACATAAGGAATAAAGAAAACCTATAAGAGCTATGAAAAGAGAAATTGAATTAAATGAACTAAAGAGCTGCTGTTTATTCAGTGCTTGTGTGGTGATTGACACAGAAATGCCACCTTTGTTTCAAAGGACATAAAGACATACCGCAGTAATTGGGGTCAGCCTCCTATTAATTGAAAACAGTTAGCAAACTGTAATTTCCTTCCCAAAAGTGTTGCCCATCTGTCAGACTCCATCCAAACCAAAGAAGCACAAAGTCACTCTTCAGGATATTTTACACCAGAGAGAGGGGCTCCTTCCAAGATTAGCATGCAACTCTGATAACGTTGAGCTCTAGAGGGATGGTGGAAATAGCTCAACTCAAAATGATAGATATTCTGAAATGACCTCTCGCCTTCTTACTGTCAGAGGTGACGACAACTACTGACCTTTTATTAAAATTCTATGATGTCATGTTCAATGACAGTAAGTAGTCCTCTGTCAGCATTACACCTACACAGGTGTTAACCAAGACAAATATGTGCTCTGTAACACATGATTATTGTTAGTGTACTGTAAGCCTGGCTTATTCTGCCCTTGGTCATCTCCACTTCATCCAATCAGCTGAAGGGTATCGGCTACCTCAGCACCCAGGTCATGCAAATCTTTTAAAATCAAGAGAGGTTCTCTGGATCTCTGCACATTTCTACAGTGGTACAACAGGTAAATAACTTCTTATTTCCTACTTTATCTCCAGATAAAGCAATTAAATAATGAAACTTTAAGGGGATTCATCCTTTTAAACTTTTGTATGACATTCTGTGCCTGAAAATAATCTTATGGAAATCTGGCTGTCTTATAGAGATCGTAGTTTGTGAGTGGAGGTAACCTGTTTTTGTCTATTCTTAAGGAGAAAGTGACAGAAGTCATCCTGGGCAACAAAAAAAGCGGGATCCTGTGGACCTACAGAGTTCTTCTATGCTTTTAAAGTTTGATCAAATTTGTGACTTGCAGAATCTAAAACAGCAAAAGGGGAAAACACACACACACACATAACACACACACATTTGACAATAACTGATTCTGAAAACTTGGCAGCACTAGCTAATACCTTCAATATGAGCACCTTAATAGTGAGATCAGTTGTTTGGGGTTGTAACTAAGAAATCCTTGTATTCTCTTTACAGTTTCCAGATGTTATGCTTTATATGACTACAGTAGAGAATAGATTGTCCATTGTTGACATTAGTGATACTGAGGTCTTCAAAAAGGCTACCATAAAGCTGGATTCTGTATTACACCATTTGACATATAGACAGTGGAATATTTAAGTCCCAACTAACTTCTCTGGCCCAGCCTGTATCTGTGAATAGACTTACCATTGTGATGGGGTTCTGCTGCAACAGAAAGGATGAGGGCCAGGCTGTGGGAGATCTGAGCCCCCTCCAGCTCCTCTAGGCCATGACTCACAGCTATGGCATGAGCCTAACGGAAACATGCACATGAAAAAATGAGAAATCGCATACTACCAAGTAAGAGCTGAAGCAAGACTGGCAAATAACATCACTATCTCAGGAAGCTGTTGTGTTTGTATATGTTGTGCAGAAGAATTGTATATAATGTGCAAGTTGTGTTAACTTGAATCTGCTTGCCTTGGAAAGATGCTCTGTGGCCTTGGTCCTGTTTAATAGTGGCCATATCCCTATAGACAGAGCAGGTCCTCTCTGGATTACTACAGTCCATCAGCAGTTGCAGGGACTTCTGACACTGGCTTAAAGCTTTCTTTGGTTTGTTCTGTCTCTTATAGATTCTACAGAGAAAGACATGCAAATACTCAGATTGACAGGAAGTTACTCAATGTTCTCCTGAGTCTAAGTTTCATATGCATGCAGTCCTTGGTCATTTTGATTGCCCATACCATAAACCAACTATGTTAGGATATAATTAGGATGCTGAATTATATCCACAAGAAATCTGTGGTATGTCTTTCCATTATGGAACAATGATCTTTCTGGTATAGAACTGTGCAGGTGATAGGAGTACACTGAAGCCATTGCATCTTTGTGTCTGTATATTCTTTGTCTGGCATTGTACTTTGATTTCCATCTAGAAGATCATCAAAGCAAAGACTATTAGTAATAGTGCAATTATTAAACTGCCAGAAAATTAGTGTCTAGTATATAACCACAAACATTTTACTTTAATACTATGAGCCTGTTTAATAAGACTAAAGTACCTACAGGTTGTCTAGCCTGGTTGAGGCCTTGCAGAGAGAAAAAAAGAGCTTTGGCTGATGGTTCCAGTTGAGGCTTGGTGCAGTGCAGACAATAATAGGGAAATGTGCCTTTCCGACTCTTTTTGTTGCATCTATTCACAAGTTAAATGCAACACTGTTGGTAGCAATGCTAATTAAACTCTCATTTTAAGGATGTCTAAATAAGTGGAGATTCTTATAGCCTCAGTGGAAACTACACTTTCAGAACTGACAGAACAGGGTAGCTTGGAGGTTTAATATGTCTGTGAGGGTTCTCACAGGTTTAATGTGCGTATATACCATTGCAATGGTATATACCAATTTGTAACCCATTTGTTATTGTGTGCTTTTTTATTTTGCATGTTTGTTTGTTTGTTTTTTTATTGACATGTGGTCAGAAGTTATATACACTCACCACTGGCATGGATTTCATCGTAATTTTGGATTTCCAATTATTTCTTTGAGTTTTCAGGATGGAATAATTGCACAGCAAACATCTTTCAATTACTTACAAAAAACAAGAATTGGATGCACAAGTCTGAAATTATTTTTGATTTTTTTCTAATTTACACAGAGTCAAAAGCAAACATACAGGCTCAAATACAGGCTCTTCCTTCTCTCGCCCCAACCAGTAGCGGCAGATGGCCGCCCCTCCCTGAGCCTCATTCTGCCAGAGATTTCTTCCTGTTAAAAGGGAGTGTTTCCTTCCCACTGTTGCCAAAGTGCTTGCGCATAGGGGTTCATATTTCCCAAAAACCTGACGTCAACCTGTTGGGTACCAAAAGTGTCCAGTCAAGGTGAAATTGTAGCCACAGCCGCCCTGGGGCGCACTGACAGAGGCGAGGCTGCTGGACACTGGCACCACCGGGCCCTCTGACCACCACCAGTAGGCAACAGGTGAAGTGTCTCGCCCAAGGACACAATAACCAAGACTGTCCAAGCCGGGGCTCGAACCGGCAACCTTCTGATTACAACACAAACTGCCAACTCTTGAGCTACGATCGCCCCATAGTGGGGGGTGTATGTATAGATTTAATCCTGAATGTATACTTTTGACAATGTGCGGATGACTAAATTCAAACTTGTGTACACATTTCTTGTTTTTAAAGTCGTGTCATTCCACCCTGTAAAAAGAACTGTTCAAAAATAATTAAAAGACTCAAAAAACAATGTCATTCATGACGAGTGTATGTAAACTTCTGACCACAACTGTGTGTCATTTCCTGTCATACTGAGTTGCTCTGACTGATACAGAACTAGGGAGTTGGAGAGGAAGGAGACAGCATGATATGATGGCAGCATTACCCACTTCGAGGACACTGGATCCATCAGGCTACTGTGCCAACAGCTTTAAACCACTAAGGGACTCTAAATTTAATTCAGCTCTCCAGTCAAGGGCCTGGCCTTTATAGGAGGGCAAATACTCACTTCTATACACTCTCTAGATATGAACACAATATCAGCCTTTAAAAGAATTTCATTTGATTTAAAGCCACACAGTTTATCATAATATCAAAATTGTATTTTTTCTTGTTTTACTAGGAGCAGAGTATATGGGAACCAAAAGTCTAAGCCTAACAGTGTTATGTTCCCATCGTTGCACTGCTTGGATTTAGGTATTTATGGCTTACTGGCTATGTACCAGCAGCACAGGTTACAAAAACAGCGTGAATGCTCATTTCTTTGAATTTTCCCATGAATCTAAGATTATGGTAACAGACTTTGATGGATAGAAGAAGTGCCCCACCCATATATCCAGGCACATTAGACCCTTTTAGGGCAGCAGTTACGGCTGAACCCATCACTACATTCCAGTATGGCTCAAGCCCCACCGCTTTGCCTGCATGGACAGACAGACAGATACAATGCCTCTCTATCCTTTTAATTCACTCTACCTCCTTACGCACATCCTGGCAGAAGGATAATATGTCACATCCCACTGAAATATACCAAAAGCCCACAGGGCAGGAAAATTAATATAATTAGGGATCTGTAGATGTGTTGCCAAGCAAGCCACACAGTTCACTATTGTAAACGTTTCCAGTACATGACTGACGCAAGGTTGTTGGGCTTTCATTTGGAAAATGATATAGTAAGGGCAAACCAAAGTAAAAACAGAGAGACTAAAAAACAGCTATCTGATCCAGCATACTGGTATGGTGCTTCAAACTAATAGCATTTAGACTCAGCATCACAGAGAAACAAATTCCCGTTTTCTCTTGGGTATTGATTGGCAACCATGGCCTACAACAAATCAGATAAACCAGTAAAGGTTGGTTTATTTCAGCAAGCTAATTGAACAAAAGTAAACTGAGAGAAAGGGGTTCTTTTTGAAAAGAAAAAAAAATACTTCATTCCAAGCAAGAGAATACTACTGACATCTGACCTATAATACTTACACTGCACAAACTATACAATCAATAGCCTAAGAAAATTAAATAACTACAGCTGCAAAGTGTTACAGTTCAGACTTTGGAAACTTTTTGCACAAAGCTGGTAAACAGACACTAAATGTCAGTGAATACGGACCATAAACACGAGTTGTCAATTAAGGTTGGAGGGAATATGTATGACTCATAAAATATGAATTCATTATCTAACTAGAGATAAGTTTGGAAATACTATTTCCAAATGTTTAATGTAATAAAGTCTTTCAAAATCTCTAGATTTACGAAACTGAAGATAAAGAACAAGAAAAAGAAACATGTCATCTTATTTGGCTATGCCCTGCCAATATAAGAACAACACAGCAAATTTGAAACTTCAGCAATAAAGGTTTGGCACAAAAATATCCCATCTACTGATTATATTGTTAGTGCACACCTTGTGTGTTAATCAAAAATGGACCTAAATATTTGGACCAGGATCCATAGCTAGAGCTGAGCTTATTGTTCCAGGCTTTGGTGGGAACATTCCCCTCCATCACAACAGTGGTGACTGATAGAGCTTTAGAGGCATGCCAAAATCTTACTCATCACCTAACAAAAGAGATTTAGTAAGCTTACACACCAGCCAGAGTCTGCACATTTTTTCAATTACACACATCATGTCAACAAACTCTGGCTCTCTGAAACAGAACAAGATTGGATCATTTACAAATTCCTCTGAGTCTACATCACCTTGCCTCAGTGCTCTTAGTTATAAGTGACTTAAGATACATGCATTGAAAAGCAAGCAACAGGATCAAAATAAATACAAAGGCATTCGTTTGTTGGCCTAAACCCAGGCAACACTATATTTTCTCTCCCAGTTGTGCTTCTAATTTCACCCCATGATTTAAACTATGCAAGTGCCTGCTATTTCTTATGTTGCCAGGCCACGAAGTTCCCGTAACAGTGCATACAGGACTTGATATCTGTGGAAGGTGTCGTCACCGTGATCCTTTAATTCTTTAATCTTATCCTGAGCATGCAGTAGTGCCCTTGGGACTTCTGTTGTCAATACGACCATATGGTGGTAATGTATTTTCTAAAGTGATGTAAACATATCAGTTATATAAAAATGCTAGCCTGTTTAGAGGAAACAAACAAAGGAAGTGACATTTAATAGAGTAACTTCAAGCTTTACACTATCTCTATGAGCCAAGGAGGAAGCCAAACTAAACAAAAAGAGAAAAAATAATGAAGCTAGTTTCTCTAGGCTGGGGCCTGCAGTCCACAGCCTAGAGAAATGCTTAAAAATATGCGCTTCTTTCCCATCTGTGCCTCTGCTTCATTAATGATTAACTGGGTTGCCATGCAGCAGTCCTACATTCCATGTCTATAAACACCATTACAAAACACCCCTGCTTACTGCCGAGCAGACTGGACAGTCATAGGGGAAATTCTGGTTTGAAAGGCTGTTGTTTACAAGTGGTCAGCAAAAATTCCCCTTTCCAAAAACATCCTAAAAGGTAGTTTTGTGCAAATCTGCAGAAATCTATCGCCATCTTGTGGTCAATCTTAAAACATAAAGTACCATACTTAACCATAAGTGTTTCAGTTATTTTTAATGAGCATGACAGTTTAAGGAAATAGAGGAAATTATCAGATCATCAGAAAACTGAGTAGCAGCTGATATAACACACTAATGGCTGCAAATTTGAAATTCTGTTTTATGTTTACAGCTGTTTATCTGTTGACTAAAATACCTGTATACCCAGAGGATATTTCCAGCTCAGTCTTTATCTTTTCTTCCTGGGTGATAACACTGCACTTACGAAGCTGCTTCAGGATATGTTCTGCCTTCAGAAAAGATAATTTTGCCCCAGGCAAAGTTCATAAGTCAAGGACTTTTTCAGTTTATCTGAGTTGAACTGATTGCTATATATAATACTATATCAGCAACTGTGGTAACGATGTTTGACCGTGAGAGGGAACGCACCACCTTGTGTGAGGTTTACATTTAGAAGACATGTGAAAATCTTAACCTTTTCACCTGTGATTGGAGAGGTGGACAGGAAATTTAGCACCTCTCTTGCAAGAGCCGAGTGCGTCTGGGCCTGCAGTCCCCAGCCTAGAGGAAAACACACACACACACACACACACACACACACACACACACACACACACACACACAGAGATCATAGGGCAGAGTTTAAAACTGATACAAAGCGGATCTGAACATTCTCCTTACACCATTTACAAAAAGAAACCCAAACAGCAACATGTGAAAAAATGGCTAATCACTGTCATAACTACGTCTGTGTAAAGGTCGACCAGACCTAGCGGAATGTTAATCCTGAGTTGAAGTATGTAAAGATTAAGGTAAACACAAGGCAATTACATATTGAGACTGAGATTCGCAATGTACTCACAGCATCTATGTAAAATTACCTTTTAACTTGAAATATGCTTTAGCAAATCTAGCATGGGCCTCTGCTAGTTTCAGGTGTCGCTCCCCATATACTAGCACTGTCATTCACCTTGCCCAACTTAATGGATTTATTTAGGATTTATATTATTATATATAATCCAAACTTTGTGTTCTGTCTGACTAATAAAGCACAAAAGCTAATGTTGGAAACTTGGTTTTTTAATCTTCTGCAGATATACTGTACATAAACCACTCTCTTTCTCTCTCTCTTTCCTCCAGACCTTTTAGATTTGCTTGCTTTGGTTTTTGATTTACTAAATACAGCACATCTCCGCACAAGACATTATTGATGAGTGCAATGCAATTATTTAGGGTTCGATTTTTTTCCCCTTTTTGTTTCTAGATAAAATTAATTTTCACGCAAATAATGTGTGGTCTCCATATTGTATCCTTCCATTTGAGCCTGCGCCTTGACAACAGTGAGCACTTTATCGAGCATCTGGGTGTGCTGCACATATACTGTAAAGTGTAGTTTGTGAACTATTGGAAAAGCCTACTGTTTCCTATTAATAACATAGAGCAAGATTTCTCTGCCTTCCCCTTTAAATTAGAAAAAGAAACGTTTAAATATTTGGGAATAAATATAACCCGCACAATGAAAGAGTTGCGGATTCATAATTTTGACACTTTGTTAGAACAAACATCACAAGATTTTAAAAAATGGGCAACACTTCCAATCTCATTAGCAGGCGGAATAAATATAGTTAAAATGGCGGTCTTACCAAAGTTTCTCTATGTTTTCCAAATGGTTCCTGTTTTCATAACCAAATCAAGTTTCAAAGATTTAGATAGATTAATAGCAACATTTATTTGGAAAAATTCAAATCTCAGAATGGAAAAAACATATTTGGAAGTACCAAAAGAGGCTGGTGGGTTAGGGTTGCCAAAATCTATCTTTTACTACTGGGAGGCTAATATCACCAAATTATTGCATTGGAAATATGCTTATGAAAATAGCGAGGGTGAAGCTTGGGTAAAAATGGAACTGATGTCTAATCCACTTCCCCTCTTAACCTCATCCCTAGCTCTAATTCAAAAACAGAAAATAACAAATCCAGTTGTAAGAACATCTATTAAAATATGGCTTCAATTCAGAAGGCACTTCTGTTTGAAACAGGTTAGTAATTTTTTCCCCTGTTGCTTTTAACCCTTTTTTTGCCATCCATTTCAGATAAAGCATTCCAAATTTGGCATAATATTGGTTTGAAGTTTTTTTTACAATTTATTTTCAGGAGAAACTTTTAACACCTTTGACGCTTAGATGAGAGATTACAATATACCAACCTCACATATGTTTAGATATTTGCAAATACGAAGTTTTGCAAAAACATTGTTTCCTTCTTTTCCTTACCTACCTCCTAAAAATCAAGTGGATACTATTTTGAAAATGGATTCTTTTGGCAAAAGGCGAATCTCCGTCATATACAAACTGATACAGAGCTTAAGGCCTATTACTTGGGAAAAAACTAAAAATAATTGGGGAAAAGACATTGGGGTGGTTTTATCTGATGATGAGTGGAGATCTTGTTTGAATCGTATACATACTTCCTCAGGAAAATGCCATTGCATTTGCTACATTGCTTGCCCGTAGACTTATTCTATTCCACTGGAAGTCTAATAAGGCTCCTTCATACATACAATGGTTAAAGGAGGTGCTTTTTTTACCACTGGAAAAACTTGGATATAGAGTTCTCTCATCACAAAAAAACAACCATTTATTGACTATATAAAAACGTATTTTCCTGATGTGTATTATACATTTTTTTTTGTTTTGATTTGTTCTGTTTCTCTTTACATGAGCCTTGGGTGGGGAGGGAAGGGAGGGTGGTTCTCTTTGGGGTTTTTTTGTTTTGTTTTGTTTTTGTTTAAAAAAAAAAAGGGAATGCTCTTGAAGCAGGTTGCCTTGTTTGGGGAGATTAGGTCTCTTGTTTAATATTTTGTTCTGTCAAAATGCTCCAGAATGAAAAACTCAAAGCCAAAAAAACAACACAAAAAACAAAACAAAACTTCCTGTTAATCTGTCAGCTGGTGTCACACGTTAACTGATTGTGTCCTCAGATTAGTTTTGAGTTGCTTTATCTGTCTGTGTTGGGCTGTGGCTACGTCCAGGAGTTCAGAGTGTGAAATGTCACAGGTATTCTGTGCAGCTATTTTGCATCCCAGCCTTTATTTATTGCTCTTTATACGCTTTGGGATGCAAAATGGTCTCCCGTGTGTTTCAGCGCCTGACACCAGAACAGTCAAATTCATCAGGGATGGCTTTTATTCAAAAGAACATCTCAGAGAAATAAAAACTGAAACGCTAAAATATTAAAACACCAGATTTGGTGATCATGTTTCCCTTTGTTTTAGTCAGGTTATTTTGGATAAAACCTGGTTTAAAAACATCATTGATGACAAAAAGCAATCAGTAATAGCTGGACAATGAAAAATCTGCACAGCTTTAATTAGCGTGAGATCCACAATGGTTCAACAAAAGCTAAATGACTGCCTTGGTGTGGTCTGTGTCTATATCCTGGAAAGAACTCGTAACATTTCTTGCACTATTATCAGTTTGTGAATACTTCCATCTTTACCGGAGTCACCAAATGGCACACAAGAAAGACAGTTTTTAGGGGTTTTTTTTTGCTTTTCTGCAGGGTGGGTCTATTTCCTGCTCTATAATGTTCACTGACTTTGACTGTATCGTTGCATTTATTTCTGTTTCGTGAAATCTGACAGGAAGTGACAGACACTTCCTTTTTGCTTTGCCTTTGTTTCTTCTGGACTCTGGATCATGGGCCCTGACTACGCCCTGGATTATACTCTGCCCCAGGCTAGCTCCATCTAACTGGGCTGTGACTATATTCTGGACATTATACTTGTAACAGATTTTGTGTTTTATGTTATAACTGCCTGTTTATCACTGCTTTTTTTTTTGTGTGTACACTGCAGCACATATCCAGCGCTGTCTGATGTTAGGAGTTTAAAATGTCAGCATGTGGGAGGAAAACTCGAGCTGTTTTTGGTGCAGCTTTAAGGATTTTCAAATCTTAAGCTCAAGGGTGTTTAAACCAAACATTAAACAACTGAAAATTTCCCCAAAGTGATCACTTAGCAGTTGAGCTGCACCACAATCAGATCTTTTCTCTTTTTTTTTTCCACTTTTGCTTCAAAGATGGCACTAACCGGATCGACTGGGATTGGTCTATGTGCTGGAGCTTGGAGCTTTTTGTTTTTGTTTGTAATGTTTAAATCTGTTCATAAACGCTGCAATATGACTTCTAAAGAAAAAAAAAGGGTAGTTTGTGTCACTACAGCCTATACCGTACTCACTTCTCAATGGTCCTCATGGGCTCGAGCGTGCCTCTAAAAGTATTGGAGCTTTTCTTCGGGAGGAATCGTTATATAAATGTCTTCTTAGCACTGTTTATTTGTGAAGGTTTCCCTACATCTGAGCCATGAAAAAGAAAGAAATATGCACCCCTGTTTCTGCTTGCCATGTTTTCATGGGAACATCCATAGGTTTAATCGAATAAGTCATGTTAACACTTTTTTTTCCCTGGAAGGAAACATATGTAAATCCTTGCGTTTATTTAACCTACCACTTAAACTACCAACACCTTACAGAAACGCTTAATTTTCTTTAACTGTAAATAAAATGATCAACATTTACCTAGCGGAGCTAATTAAACGAATTAAACAAATAAAGGTAAACATAAAGGATACTCACTTGATGACTCACTTCACTAAATTACTTAATTTTATTAATTCATTTGTTTATTTGCCATCAGCAGAATGGTTTCCTTGGTTACACACGGCGCGTGCGATAGTAGCAAGTTAATGTGACCAACAATGGATCCTCGTCCACGTTATTCACCGGAAACATTTAGCAGTCTAGCAATTAATAGCTAAAAAAAAAAAACATCGTCTTACAAGCTAAACCAAAGCCAGGCTCTGTTCAGCGATGCCGTTAGGGTCCGCTGCTGAAAAATATTCACCGCTGAAGCGCTTCCTGAAGGCGCAAACTGGCATATCATGGAGCGGGCAGCATTCAAGAACTACACTGTTCGTGGACGAACACGTCGTTTTTAAGTGTAGTACGATTTTTTATGTGACCACAAACATCATCAACACGACTTAGTTTAATGAAATACATCAAACCGGATATAATCGTTAATGGTTAAACTGCGCCTGCATGTTTCAGTCTTCTTGTTAACGCTCTTTCAGTGTGCTTTTTGAACTAGCCTGGGTAGAAAGTCACTAAATCAAAGAATAGCCACATCCACGTTTTCTTTTTCTTGTGATTCATTTATCATTAAGGCGGTTGACTTAATGCAATTCTACACATTTTGGATCCGATACCAAGTAAATACAGGGTCAGTGTTGCTGATACCAATATCGATACCAGTACTTATAACCTACAAAGGCAGCCTATGTAGGGGAGAGAGCAGTGTGTAATGATTTATGAGATGAATTATTATTAGCAAATTATTCCAAACACATTATAATGACCATTAAATCACTCTGATTTTACTTTCGACAACTACACTCACTTTTCAGCTTGTATTTTGAAACAATTTTTTTTGAGACCTGGAATGTAAATGTGTGTGTCTCTAAAGCACTTTGGGTCTTCTGCTGTTGTTTGAAAATAGGCTTCATCAGGGCTCGACTGGGACAAAAGAAATCAGCCCTGGCATTTTTGGTCCACGCAGCCCACCATGATCACTCAAAAAAACAAACAAACAAACAAACAACAAAAAATAAACAGCAACATGTTTTATGTTGTTGGGTTAGTTCTTAGCTGCAGTGCACTATGTGATAATTAAAAGCCACACTTTGGCTAATGGTCAATGTAGCCATTCACTTTACTTCCTAATTATGTTCCTTCATCTGTTTTCATACCACATTAATTTCCCCTTCCTCTGTCTCTTCCTCACTCTCTTGTTGTGACTGTAGTTCCTCCTGCTGCACGTCTCTACGGCTTGTTACTTGTTGCTGGTGTTGACGGTGCAGCAGCAATAGAGACAGCTAACATGTCGGTTAATCTGACACATTTTTCTGCATTTATTTTTAGTTTTTTGCCACTCCTTCCACACTAAACTCTGTTTTACAAGCCTCATGAGTGCACATCAAAGGTGGGGGAGGGTCTGATTGTGTTAAGAGATTTGATTGGGCAATACATTGTCTGCAATGAAAATGAACAAATGGACTGTTGTGAGTGCTTGTAGGGTTGGTGCACAGCGCTCCTTCAGTTGACCCGCATCGGCCCACTGGGCAAACCCTTAGTATGCCAGATTATCCTGGTGAAGTATTGATTCCTATTCCACTAGTATCGATTCAATACCAATACCAGGGTTGGTAATGATAATATTAATATTTGGATCATCTGTCCACCTCTAGGCAGGGTTTGTATCTACCCCCTATCTCTGGTCTTCTCCAATGCTGCTTTAATGAACGAACAAACCGCTTAAGTGAACTGCTGTGCAGCTTTGTGTAATGTCGCATGTCATTTTTAGTCCTTGTCCCGCTGTTCTACATACTGAGATGGTGTCCCACATTTTAATTTGCTCTAGTATTCAAAGCCCAACACATTAGTACAGACCATTTTCAAAAACCTGAAATATATTTTTGGCTGTGAACAGGGGACAGCTGAAACTGAGGCAGCAATTTACAGGATGGAATACATCAGCTTCCTTACACCTGACAGTCCTAGCTACGGAGTTTTTTTTTTAAAGTGCGCATTGAAAGATGGATTTTAAGGGCCTGAAAATCAATGAAAAACCTGACTGTTCCTAGCAGGCAAAAACAAACTTCAAGCCACCATAAAACCTCCCAGTGGCCGTTTAGCCCCTGGCTTGAAGAAAACAGACAAGGTTTTTGACATACAAAATTTGCTTTAAGTAGGCTGTCTTTCTGTGAGAAGTCGACATGTTCTCCCTGTGCCTGCTTGGGTTATCCCCAGGTGCTTTAATCTCCCGATAACATACCAAAGACATGCTTGTTAAGTTTATAGGTGCAAAGGTGCATAGGTGTGTCATTGTCTGTATTCTTGTGATAGCCCCTTTGATGCACTGGTGAATTGTCCATTGTGCACCCTGTCTCTAATTCCCTATGACCCGAGGTAAGAGAGGGGTCAAGACAGTCAATGACAAAGGAACTGTCTCATTAAAATCAGGGTTTGTTTTTTTATCGTCTTAATAAGGCCACAAGATGTCAGTGTAGCAACACAAGAGCTGTGGACTCAGACAAACCGTGGGTTTTACTGTTGAGCTCAAGGGAGTATTATAATATTGTTTTGCTGTTTTAAGAAGTGATGGCTGAGGTTTTGGCCATCCCTGAGGGCATGCGCACTTCAAAGTAAAGTGCAAATATGTATACCTCAGGGCCTTTGTTTTTCTTTTTTTTTCTCTGTGTCATCCAGGCTTCATCCTCTGGATTAAGTTTTCTTAAAGCTCTTAGGAAGATACTTATAATTTATAAAAATCATCATTTAGTCATCTGTACATTTCAGCAGTCACACAAATGGCAAAAACTTATGACTTCACAACGCCTTCACAAGTATTTTATGATGACAACAACCTGCGTAGACCACAGAATTAAAAAAAACAAAAATCTCTGTATGCTTATTGGTTAATGTACCTATGGGTGGGAGGCAACATTGACCTTTAAGTTGTTCAATGTCATCTGTAGCTCATTAGTTTTAATGGGTGGGTGTTAAATGGGCTGAAGTCGCAGTGGTGCGCAGGTTGAGAGGTGCCACTTTGATGAGATGGTAAACAATGAACCTGAAAGACATTCTTCCATGGCTTCTAATTTTACTGCTTAAAGGAGTTTTTTTCTTGTGTTCTCTAATTGTTTGTACTTTGCTGAAGTTACACATCCAGAGATTAAAGTATGCTGTTTGCACACAAGCTCTGTCGTTTGTCCAAATCTCGTGCAAATAAGTGTGATTCAGTGTTCTACACAGCAACATGCTTTCCCCTTGATTAAGTTAATTTATTATTTGTCACTGGGTATGCAGTCTGTTTCGATGCTGTGCAACATTCTTCCTTTTTATAAAGGGTATGATAGTACAGTTGTATGGCTATAAATTGTTAGTACAGGTGTATTCGAAGAACTAAAAGGCCTTCAAATTAAAATGTTGCTGTAAAAGTGCCGATAACCCATACCTGTGTTTCCCATCATTTTGTGCTTTAATATAAAAGCTATATACCCATAGCAGGAGGAGGAAATGTACATTTCCTTGTGAAAATATACTTTCTTACATCAGTACCCAATATTCATGCCAAATAAACAAGAAATAACGTCTCTGTGGCTGCTTTGAGAAATTGGTCTCCAGAGACAGCTTTCTAGGTTAATTTATTCTGTATCGTGCTGCTGGGAGTGTGTGTATACTGTCACCACTTTTAAACTCGGGGCAGGGCACATTTTGTGTGCAAGACTGCCTAAGATAACTTCTAATGGCTCCTTGGGATGGCTGCTGCCGGTTGATTCTGGCAGGCCATGAGACAACTCGTTTATTTGTTTGTTTGTCCCGTGAGTTTTTGGCTGGCCATTCAGGGCTCTGTTTGGCCCCAGTCCCTGTTGGGCTTCTATTTCTGAAACCCAAGTGGCTCTTAATGAAGCTGGTAGGGTTGGCATGGGCCCTCAACAAACCCAGGCCTGATCAGACCCTTCTTCTTCTGCCTTGGCAGCTACACACCATTTGCTCCCTCTGGCTTCCTAATTTAGTAACGGTGGGTAAAAATATGCGCTAACGAACAAGGTCTGGTATGTCAGGCTGGCGTCCAGAAAAGAGGGAGGGGGCTTTGGGCTGGGGGAGGGAGAGGGAGAGGGAGAGAGGGGGGAGTGTTTTCACAGTAGGCACCCAGTGACAGGGCTAGAGTCACTCAGGCTTCTCTGACATCTGTGTGTGTGTTTGTGTGTATGTGTAGATATTCAAGAGAGTGTGTGGGGGTGATGAGAGGTGGAGAGTGAGTACTTAAAATTGCTCACCACTGCCAAACGCCATTCAAACGCACATTCTTCTATTTTATTTTTACTGCACCGTGCACAAACGTATGGTATACACACAGTACAAACGGGAAGGATTTCCAAAAGAGTAGTCTCTTCTTCTTTAGCTTTGTTTTACTGTAGTATTGGGTTTTAAGTGGACTTTCGCATCCGCAACTCTTGGTCAAGTTTTCTAACAAAATGTTCTTACGCTAATATTAGCTCCAAAGAGTGTCATGTAGCGAGATAACGCGTTAACAAAAGAGCATTTCTATCTACAGAGCATTTTAAAGCTTAAGCAGTATTTTGTACTCAGCAAAACTGATCTTCCCTTAATCTTAATTCAAATATAAACCGTGAGATTTAAAAACTATGACACCTCATTGAACATTTAGTGTTTTCTTCATGTAGTTTTGAGATGTTGCATTGCACACAGACTCCTATGTCTGCACTGCTTAGTAGGAACAGAGGATATAAGATAACCCTTCAGAGCTTCCAGGCCAGATCTTTGCCAGCTACAGCCCATATAGACTGCGGAAGAAAAACAGTTTTTAATGTATGTTTACCCTATACACCTCTGACTTTCCATGTTCTTAATTTTCCATGGAATCGTTCCAAAAACATTAGCGGTGAATAACTTTATTTTAGGTCGTTTCTCTGACAGACAAAGGAGAAGGCAAGCCAAGCTTCCTGCAAGGATTTAAAGATTATAACTATTTGATGATGAATGTTTTCTTTCTCAAGTGCTGCTTTGAAATCATACATGTTAGCTCTTTAAACAATAATCAATACAAAAGCAATACTTTTATTTAGTATTGAATTTACTTAGGACAAACCCCTACCTGGGTTTAGCTTGCAATTACTCAATTTTCATCTGTCAAGTCACCATAGAAACCTGCCTTCAGGCACTATAGCACTTGCCCTTCTGTTCACAGTTCAAGGGGCTCATGGCAACCTTGTCAACATCACTAGCAAAGCCAAAGCTTTAGATGAAAACTGAAAACTTCCTTGTCTGTTGGGTTTTTCTTCAGCAGAAAAAATAAAACATGCAGGCAGCAGGGCAACTGCTCCTCAATGTGCTGCTAACATAGATGTTCCACTGTTTTTACAGAAACCAAACTTGGGATCTTAAAAAGTCACATAATTAGTCAGAAAACCTGC